TTGTTATTCTAGGAAATCTGTTTAGTTTATTAGGAATAAAATTATTTTTTGACAAATTTAAAAGTTAGTTTAATCAATTATAAAGGACATAATATAATTATTTAAATATCTTTATTTTAAATAAAGTATTCAACCTAGCTTTTGTCAGAAAAAGATGTATATTTTTTAGGAAAATTTTTTATTGTACTTTTGAAGGCTTCAAATTAAATATATTGTTAAGCTTTAATTCGTCATTAAGTTAACAAAAATTAATTGCTAGCAGGGAGTTTAAGTGCGTCTAAACTATGAAAGAAATAAACATGAATAATTAAATTGAAGGGTCAGGTCATCTTTATTGATATAGATTTAAAGAAGAATGGATTATTTTAGGAGCAAAGATAAGTTTAAGAGATAAAATGTTATTGATTTATTAGAGAATTGGTAACGACTCTGCCATTTATTGAGGCAGAAATACAAGATATTTTATATAAAATACATCAATATGAAATAGATTTTTAAGATAGTAAAGAAATACAAGAAATATAATAAAATAAAGAAATTAAATATATTAAAGAAATGTAGATCGCTAAGAAATTAAGAAATTAGTGAAATTAGAGAAATCAGAATCGTGATCGTCAAGATTACCATTCGTCAATTATATTTGGCGCAGTATCATGCGTCATATCACTAACAACGTCATTGACATAAATTTGATATTTCATACTTAAGAATTATGAAAATTGATTAAATGTTATTTCTTAAGTGAATTGCAAAGCATTTTTTTTGTAATACATTAACTTCTCATAATAATGACGTGGCGACTGAAATAAATGTGTATTGCCATATCCAATTTCTTTGAACAATCCAAACGACAATTACCCTTACCGGTAAAATCGCATGAATTACCACACAAAGTGCTTAAACTTCGCCAAAGATATTATTTCCTACATATTCAGGCTTGTGCATTCATTACCCCTAGAATTAATTTGTTGTGAGATTCAACAAGGTGACAATACATTGGTAACATGATAATCCCCAAACAATGTCCATAGAAGCGACATTTGAAACTTGAGCAAACCCATCTTGAACACGAGAAACGCTGCGCTTAATGAATATATTTTCCTCAGGTAACGATTTAATTCTAAAGAATCTGGACAAATTGACTATCAACTCATCAATTCTTTCTCCAGAGTCATGATTCTATTGAAATATACACTTTTTTCAGTTTATAGAAAAATTAAATATAAATGAACAAATATTATTTACAATAAGATATCTATCGGTTGGAATAAATCGCAACTCGAATCAGTATGAGGATATTATAACTAACCACACTCAGGATTCAATATGAAAAGAAAGTTCAAAATTTTATTTGAAAATATAAAGGTTGATAATCATTTGAATATTCGTATATAAAAAATACACCTTTAATTTAACCATGTTACCTATGTATTATGTTAAAAATTCTCGCACGCTTCACATTTAGTCTCCTGCTCATCTAACTTCTAAATATCTGATAAAGTCTTAAACCATGCGGCATAATTAAATATTGGCCAAGGAATGACATTAAATCCACCTTGAAACATGAAATATTATTACTGATAGATAAATCGGTCGTTACAAATGATAAATATATAATAAAGTTCATTGGAGAAAGCTTTGCCCGAAATTCCCTAACAATTTCTCCTTAATTGGTCCTGAGTACATAGTTTGCCTATATCATAAGATATTAACGTTACGTTAATAATTTTTTATGAGTTTACATATTAAAAAAAAAATATTTTGTACATGAAATAATTTTGGTCTAACTCGAATAACATGCACCCATCTTGAAATCTTTAAACATTAAAATTTATTGCAAAATGATACTTTTTATTAATTTCAAAAATTCTCAATTTTCTGTTTCAGTAAATAACGAATAACGAATAAAAGATTCAAAGATTATAAATGAAAATAAATAAAACGATCCTTAAAAAGTATCATAACGGTAAATCTAAATTACATAAAGGTAATTTTGATGATAATAAATGGTAAAATATGAAAATTTACATATACAAACCATCTTGAAAAATTCTCGTATATACTATAGGAGATAAAAATATATATTAAAATATAAATAAATGAAAGGTAATTTATTGTATCTAAAACAGTATCGAAAAATAAAAAATAAAATAAACTTCCCAAAGTTGGTAATCTATCATATTCTCATGAATTTTTATAAGTTTTTTTTTTTTTTTTTAAGACGCGGTGAAGCCTTTATTTATTTTGAATTTTTATAAGTTAAAATATTAATCATATACGATATTGTATATATTCTGATTGGTTCGGAGAATTGTGGCGATATTTTCGATCTTTTTTTTTTTTAAAAAAACTCATTTTCCAAATATGATGTCAGTTAAGTCAAAATTATATTGAAACATATGAATATTACGATATTACAATTGAAGTTGGAGAGAAATGTGAAATATTACGTGCACATAGAAATGTTTTGTGCTATCGTTCTCCATATTTACGACGAACTTTGTCTTCCAATCGAACGAATAATGACGGCACCCTAAATTAACAAATTTTTATTTCACTGGAAACCTTTCAAATTATTTAGAAGTGAGCTCATGTTCATATTTATGATATTTTCGTCTCTTTTTTTTTCTTATATAACTTTTGCTATAACTTAGAAATTATGACGTAGGTACATTTATGGTGGGGCCATTTCTTTGAATGAAGAATTTTTTTAAAGGTATTGTCAGCTGCTGATGTCCAGATTAGTTGAACATTTACAAACTTATTTAATAGAAAATGAAGTTAAATTGATTAAACAACATTTTGATTTTATAGGATAAGCTTTCAATCTAATTCTTTATCGAGACTTCAAGAATTATGTAATGATATTATAGCCTAATCACCCGAAAAAGTATTTGAATCACTTGATTTTGTTTCGATTCCTGAAAAGCCTTTAATCTCTCTTATTAAAAGAGATGATTTACAAATGAAGAAGTTGAATTTTGGGATCATTTATTAAGATGGAGCCTTGAAAAAAATCCCACACTTGTTCCGGATCATGAATTATGATGGTAATTTACTCCCTAGGTATAGAGATATTGATGGAATTATTGATTCTAAAATTAATTATTAATATAAATATAGTTTTCTATATCCTTATTCTTGAAAGAAAAATATGATACTATCTTTAGTATGACCATATCCATATCTAGATTTCCATATTAAAGGATTATATATTCCAAGAATTTCTTTTGTTCCTTTTACTTTAATGAATGTGACTGTACTGTATGTGGTCTATTAAAGAATGAAATTTTCTAGGAGTAAATCCATCTTTGCTTCCTCGTAATAATAATTCAATTTATATGGTAAGTAAAGTTCTCTTAAATAAGAAAATCTGTTTCCAATATCTCCCATCTTGAGAATAACGTTAAAGATTCAATTTTAAGTCATGTAAATGATATTTAGGTGTGATATTTATTTAGGTAGTTATTATTTCAACACTTGTAACTCAACAAATTATGAAAAAAAATAAGAGAATCGCAAGAAATTTTCTCAATAAAAGGTTATGAAGTATTCCAAATATTAAAAAAATAAGAGTTGATATCTATGGTTTCATTTACCAAATAAATTCTTTTCAAATTATGTGTAATCTTTGAGCACTTGAATTATTTTTAGTCACAATGAAAATTTTGTTCAATATTCAAGATCGTAAAACCATCAATTTTATCTTCTATCTTTAGACTTATTTCATTGAAGTAGGTATTTATTAATTAAAAATCTTCTATTAATCGAACTCAAAGCCCGGTGAAATGGTTGAACCGATTATAATACTACGAAAATCCACGAGGAAACTAACTAAGAGTTATTTTATTAGGAAAAATTGATCTAATCAAATTATCATTTTTACATACGTCACCATACACCACCATTGTTATTACCTCATCATCGATTGCCATATCAATGACCATTATAATCTAAGTTGGAATCATTTGATGATTCTTCAACTTCGTCACAATAAACTTTACACTAGCTTTAGAATTAAGTATCTTAAAATATTAAATGATAATTTATCTGGAAACAATTTTATAATAGAAAATTATATTTAAGATTGAAGTTCTTGATAATGTTTAAAACTATAAGTTTATTTTATGATACTTCAAACTAAAAGATTATTTAAATATATAGAGAGAGCTTGTGCAAAATTATAATTACCGCAGTATCTGATCACGTTATCACATTTGATTTGTTCCACCACATCATTGTTCGGTGTTCTTTTTCCGTTGATCCAATTTTGGTGTGATATTTCCTTTTGTATCCCTATTGAAAATTTAATTTAAATATTACAAATCATTCGAAGATTTTTTTTTTAAATAATGGATAAATTAAACGAATTCCACAAATTAAATGTCTCTGAAAATAATAAATGTTCTTATTGTGATAAACCATTTACAGAGAAATTATGGTGTAAAGAATGTGATCCATGGACTAGTGGAAATTCTGATATTAATAAATTAATCAAAGATACTATGTATGATACAAGAAATAAAAAATATGCAAGATTTCTTGAATGGGTGCTATTTGATAGGTTTACAGATATGAAAGAAATTGGCGAAGGAGGATTTGCCAAAGTGTATTCTGCAACATGGATCGATGGTAAATCATATTTTAATAAGCAAGATGATGGAAGTTGGAAAAAATCAGATCCCTCTATGAAGGTTGCGTTGAAAAGGTTAAAAGGATCACATGATATGTCAGCCAAATATTTTAATGAGGTATTTTACATTTACATTGATATTTATTAAATAGTATCTCTAACTTGCTTAAATTCTTATTACAAGAACTAGCTTAAGGCACATTGGTATATATATTATAAAACTGGTAATTCATTAAAATTTTATGGAATAACTAAGGATCCAGAAACCAAAGAATTTATTATGATTTTAGATTTCGCAAGTGATGGAAATTTGAGAAGTTATTTTTCAAATAATTTTAATTTTAACTATATTTTATGGAAAAATAAAATGTATCAATTATATGATGTAATTCGTAATCTTAAATATTTACATGATTTAAATTATTGTCATAAGGACTTTCATAGTGGAAATATCTTGCATGATGGTAGATTTGCTTATATTTCAGATTTTGGATTATCAGGACCAGCAGATAAGCAAAAATCAGAGGATCGAATATATGGAGTATTACCATATATCGCTCCAGAAGTCTTGAATGGAGAGCCATATACGCTTGCTTCAGATATTTACAGTTTGGGTGTAATTATGGCTGAATTTTCATCCGGAAACCCTCCATTTTATGATAGGAAACATGATTATAAATTATCTTTAGATGTTTGCAATGGACTTCGTCCCGAATTTGGAAAAGGAACTCCTGAATTTTATAAGAAATTAGCTTATAAGTGTATGAATGCAATTCTAAATCAAAGACCAACGAGCGATGAATTACATGATATGTTGGTTTTTTGGTATAAATCTAATAAACATTATGAGATTTATAAAGATACTAAAAAATATGGATACTATGGAAAAGAAATAAAAGAAGCATTTGAAGAAGCTGATAAAGAGATACCAAATATTTCAATTTCACGTAAAACAAATTCTGATGCTGTATATACAAGTAGAGCATTTGCATTAAAAAATTTGACAAAACCTATTAATTCGTCTCTTATTACTTCATATCTTGAAAAAGACGAAAATAATGAAGGTATTATCTAAATTTTGGTTTCGATAAAAATATAAGTATTTATTTTAATAAATTTTAATATTTAAAGATTCTCAATTACATGAATTAGAAATTTCTAGCTCATTACAATTAAAAGGTAATTTTAAGTAAATATTGATATTTCTAATCTAAATATAAGTTAATACCGACTTTATATATAATTATAGACTTCAATAATTGAAGGTTTTGATATTTCCTGAGAAAGTTTATAAAGTTGATTATTCAGATTGGTTAATTACGTCATCATTATTTTTGGTTAAAGGAAATCTCTGATAACCTATTTTACGTATGAAGTGATTCTCTTCTACATTGAGGTTACAGATTTGATAAATAATCTTTTATTGGTTATTAATATTGATGAAATAACAATCGTAATAAAGTATATCGTAGGTTGTCTTTTTAAACTTCACTACATTTTCAGATATAACTGATGAAGTATATATTTTAAATATAAATTTGTTTTATAATATACATTATTTTTATAGTGTTAATTATATTACTAAATGATTAATTGGGATTAAAGCTATCATTAAACCATGTAGTTTGATCCGATTATCGAGTTATTATTACGTTACGAGGTTAATAATTTTATGTCATAAAATCTAGACGTAAAAATCTAATAAAAACCCGCTGTCGCAGAATTGTTTTATATTATAATTCTTTCTTTTTTTAAAATTAATATTTCGTATTCTGTACACTAGTGAGAATCTTTATAAACAAATAAAGGATTTTCTATTATACTTATATTTAGAATTAGAAAATAAAATTAAGAAACTTAATTATTAGCGATTAAAGATACAAATAATTTCACCACAAACTACTTTAATTTAAACTGACGCCAAACATTTTTATTCTTAAACTTAAATTTTTTGCTATAACAATTTGGTTTTCTATTATTTTCTAAGTTTGATTTAAAAACTGCACTTGCAGATAAAATTATGCTCGAAATGAAAATTTAAATAATGAGCACGAATTGACGAAAAATTATTTAAGAGATAACAATAGTTAAATTATTTCTAATAAAATTTTGTATTGTTATTATTAGTGATCCCACTTGTCCTCTGGGCAAGTTGTTCTCAAAAATTAATGAAAAAAGACGGGATTGATGATTAGACAGACTTTCATTGATATCTTTAATAATATAAAAATTCCCCGATATTCCCTTATTTTGATGTTTTAATAGTTGTAGTAATTTCGTAGGATTGAATTTTAATAATCCGATACAGAGCGCCGACAGTATTGATTTATTAATTTTCATTAATAATTTTTGCATAATTATTACATAATTAAAAACCCTTCTGCTATTTAACATTCGTTTATAAAGGTAGATTATTTTTTTGAATTTTCATAAATTACCGTCATATTTGTGAGTTTATATATATAAACTAAAAACTGGGGTTGATAAACTAGGAAACATAGAAAATCTTTTAAATTAAAAAACTAAAAATGGTCACGAGAAACAAAAAATAACGCCATTATGGAGCTATATGGTAAGAGTGAGAAAATAATTAGTGAGAAAAAAATAAGAATAGGTATTGTTAATAGCAGTTCTTTGATGTTTATAGGTTATAAACGGAGTTTAAAGGTAAGCAGAAGGTTTTGTGTTTTATTATTTTACTAATTTAATTAATAACAATCGGAATTTCTTAATCTAATACAACATAGATATCGTATTGCCTGCAACGTCGGCACTCTATACAATCAGGTATGTTTATTAATTATATCTTTCGGAGTTATTACAATAAAAATGTAAAGAGAAATAATAACGATGCGATGTTTTCGTGTTTAGGGAATTATCGGACTTTTCAAGGATTGGATGAACTGTTTATTATTGTAGGTATTTAATTCTTTTTATTTGTGTTAAAAACTATTATTGAAAAACTATATATCTTTTTATTAAAGGAAATTCCGTCACTTATATACTAAATTTCTAACAGGACAATTATGGCCAGTGAACAGTCATGTACAATGATCATTAATGGCCAGTGAACAATAATGTCCAACGAACATTAATGGCCAGTGAACAATAATGTCCAACGAACATAAATGGCCAGTGATCTTCGTTGCGCTAACTTAAATTTTGTTAGCCGAATTTCTTATAATTAAAATAATAATAAAATAATAACAGTAATAAAATAATAATAACAATAAGCAATACTAATAAAATATATATAGAAACGCTAATAATAAATGCTATCAATAATAATAAAAAATAAAATAAAGAATAAACTAATAATAAATGTTTATTTAATAAAATCAATATGTCTTTCGATACAAGTAATACATATAATTATTAAATGTAACAGTATTAAACCAAATCATTTTCAATCTAATATTCTTTAAAATTTTGATGCAAATTTTCATAATTAACACCGCCTCATTTCTTTTGCTTACCATATATTTATATTTATTAATTTAGCTGTTAAGTTTTTTCAAACATAACGAGCTTTAATGTTGCGGCCCTAATCCTATTTTGATAAAGTCGAAACTTTTCAAAAATAATTTAGACAGTTTTGATGGATTTTGTACAGTTTTGACAATTTCAATGGTTTTCGTTGGATTTCAATTGTTTCAAAAATTTTTGACGAATTGTAATTAAAGGTTTTATTATTACTAAATTTGCAAAGTTAAGCTTTTTAACATGTTAGTATTAGAGCTTCAAATTTTCCATATTTTCGAAATTTCTTAGGCAATTGAAACTTACTATTAAAGTTTCTGATGAGTATACTTCCCGTCAAAACATTTCCATTGTTGAAATTTTACCACTCATCGATACTTTCGCGGTTTTGCTTTTAAAAAAATTTTTGCTAGAACGTCAAAATAAATTTCGATTTTGCCACCTGTCGAAACCTCAAGGATTTGCCAGGCAATCATAACGTGACATCTTAATTATTATGAATATTAATTGAAACGTTCAAATTTCTTTTTCTAGAGAATATAGTATTATTTATTACCTTCAAATCAAAAAATAATGCTGCGTCAATTATGATTTTTCATTTCCTAGATACAGTAGTATTTATGCTATTTATTTTATTCTCATAAACTCTTCGCACAATGCATCCCAAAAGAAAAAACATATGAAATCAAAAATTAGAATTATCCTTAAAAACCAGAGGTCAAAAGATAAAAGGTATTACTCTTAATACAAAATTACCTATTAAACCTCTCCTAAACGAAGTCAAAAGTAAAAAGAGCCTGTTTTAAACAATAATTGTAGTGTTGATTATGGCTCTTACTCCTACTAAACGAGGTTAAAAGAAAAAGCAAAATGAACGTATAAATAATGATGATGGTGGACAAAATACTCGATCTAGTAACAGCTTCAGTTAATCAAAAGAAATGTATAACAAGTGTTGAAGATGGTGATGAGATGACAAATATTATAAAAAAATAATGATGCTGAAGATAATAATAATGAAGATGAGGATAGTAAAAATGATTATAAAAAAATCCATCAGCTAAATGCTAAGTAATTCTTTAATTTCATTAATAAACTTTAGCAATCAATGATGACAAATTTATTTGAAGCTAATTTTTACTTTAAAACCATGTTTATTATTGTTTAATGTGTATTAATTTATTCAGATTATTTCATTTCTTTAATTTCTTTAGAGGTGTCACGTCACGTAAAGATCTATTGCATCCATTTCAAATAATATGAACATTAATTAGCTTCGCAATAAAACATTAAATAACTCAAATGAAGCAACTGGATTTTTTGATAATTCTAAACCTAACTCATTTATACTATATTCAATTACGCGTCCATTTACATCTCACTTTAATACTAATATAAGTTTTAATGATGATGTTTTTCGAATAAATTCACCTTATGTGTTTCATTTGAAAACATTATTAAATGATACCATTGTTTATTCACCCTCTGAAACTTTATTTTAACGAATTCATTCAAGTAATATATCTTTTCGATCAAATGATAATATTCACCAAGTTTAAACGTGACTACGTAAAAACCTTAATGTCTAACTATGTATTTATAATATTTAATTATCAATATAAGCACAAGTTGCGACGGATATAGCTTTATTTACCAAACTTTAATTCCTCAATATTGGTAACTGCTGCGTCGCATATACAGGAAGATAAGTATATAAATATTGTTTTTTTTTATTTATTTATTTGTTACTAATTTCAAAATAATCATAATATAATGCTAATCAAGATATTTAAATGTTTATTTCATCTTAAGCCTCGAAGAGTGCTTTCGAAGACTTATATGGCAAATTTTCAAATGTGATCTAAACTCAGCTGAGGTATTGACTGGTTACGAGCAGATAATATGACGTTTTTTGAATATTTCACAATAAATTCCTAGATAATATTGAGGATGATGTTAATACAAAAAGAAAAAAAAGAAAAAAGGGTTAAATCAACTATTCTTTTATTTTATTCCATTAATTTTATTACAATAATTTACTTTATTTATAGAGAAGGAATTCTGTATACAACTTAACATTCACAAAGAGAAATTATTTTATTGTAGATGAATCTGCAACCTCTAATGTCTTGTACAGATGGATATGAGATATGAATGTAACCGATTTCGAGCATAAACACAATTCTGCATTTATGCAAATTTATTATGGAGGCTACGATTATCAAAACCTTGGATGATATTACAAGAAATTAGAGTTCCGTCCTAAAATATCACCAGCAACTTGCAGTTAGTACTTAATATCAATAAATACTTAATAACTATGATTTATCAATATTATCACAAATTTATTTGATGTTTTTACTACTGTTACATTAATTCCTAACAAATAATATTATTTTACTTCAATAGTTGTATATATATTGTAACTATAATGAGGTACGAAACCCAAAAAAAGCAATTAATAAACAGACGAAATTATATTAAAATATAATGAGGGGTACGACGAAACCCCGAAATTAGCAGAAACTATATTAAAAGCATAGTAAGGGATACGACGAAATTATTTTGCTGGAGTTTCGGGGATATTTATGTAACGATAAATTTTAATTACTTTTATCTTACTTTTTATGATTGGGACATATGGGGTGAGTGCTGGGAAAAAGGACCAAATCGACAAAAATTTTTTTTTGAAATTACAAATGATCTGAATCAGATGACCAAATCTACATCTATTTTACTTAGGAACTTTTTTTTAAAAAAAAAATCAATTTGGTCCATTTTCCCAGCACTCACCCCATATGATTTAGTAAAATAATGGGCAGTTAAGACAATGGATTTTTAATTAATTGACGATTTTTTCTATAATTGTATTCATTGTTAATTTTTATAGAACGCGAATTTATTTTATTTTACTATAGTATTAATTTTTATTATATAAATATATAATATAGCGTTTATTTTAAATTATATTACAATGGAAAATTTTATTATATTTTTTTATTATGCAATCTTATTAATAAAATATAACATAAGAAATGACTTGAGAATGCAGTGAATTCATCAGTAAATAATATCTAATTATAACAAAATTTTTCTTAAGTTGATTTTTTCGGTTAATTTGCAATGATAATTACCACCTATTTAAGAATATTTATGACTTCGAACAAACATGTCCTCGATAATTTAATGGGATCGTTCAATATCACGTTGTCACTTAATTGCTGTTATTTGGTATTTCTGCAAATTATAATATTTTATTTATCATATATTTAAATTATTGATTCAATCATTATATCATTATTCAAGAATATAAGCTATTGTCTGAAGTACCTCCTCAACAATGCCAGATGCTATTACATGCGCTACTGTATTAGATCACGAAAGAAATTTTAATTTTTATAATTATTTATTAATAGATTTATATTTATATATTTTTAATTGATATGAATTAGATTTCATTACATACATTATTGTAATTATTTTAATAAAAATAAATAAAAGTTAATTGTTTCACTAGAATATAAAAGATAATAATATTAATATATTTGAATAAAGTTATAACGATAACGATAACATTTGATTTGATTTCAAAATATATAATAATTATAATCTATCAAATGAAATTTATATGACATCTTGTGAAATTAAAGGAATTATTCTTTATTATTTATTCTAAATATTACCAAAAGATTCATTAAATTAAGATTATATATATTTTCACATTTTCATCTCAGATCTTAAGAAATTATTCAGGTTATCCAAAAATAATATAGGATCAATACCGTATTTTTGAATTAAACAGCATCTCAAAACAGTTTCTCATATACTAAAACACAATAGAAATTGTGACTAATTTCAATTTATTCAATAATTTAATTATTGTTTAAAAAATATAAAACTTTACAAAATTTTTCTGATATAATTAAATCTGAGAATTTTATAAATGTAAAGCTAGGCAAAAACTTTTTAAATATTACATTTTGTATTATGCAAATATTATACAAATAAAATTAAATTAATAGATCTCTTATTATTTATCTATATTAAAAGCTTATCAATAGAAAGAGAAGAAATTTAAAAAAAAAGTTTTTATGAGTTAAAGTTAAATCTGGACTTATTTTACTAAAAAAAATAATATTTATCATATAAAGTAAATTTTTATTTTTTTTTAGATTTCTTCCTATTTTATTGACAAGCTTTCATATATGTATTTTTTTTAAAAAAATATAATTGTACATATTTTGTTTAATTCTAGAACAGTATTTTGTATCCCTTATAATTTATCTAGCAAAGTTAAATATTTAAGTATAATCTATATGATAATGTATAAGAAATTTTAAAAAGTAAAGTTGATTATAGGTTATTACCAACAGAAATTTCTTATTATTCAAATGGTTTTATCTGAAGAAATTTTGTTTTTAACATGAAATAATAGAAAGATCAATGTGATGGATCTGATAGAATTAATGTAAATAAAGGATATTTTATTATTCTTGTGGTGAGTGTTATATGACAGTTAGAGACAAAAAAAGTTGCTAAGAATACCAAGTTTTAAATAACAAAAAAATCACGAAAATAGTATGTTAAATTTTTTATAATAAAGTATATGCCATTTACGATTTTCATTATAAAGTCACGAGAATCTAAAACATTTTATAATACATACTTTTGTGAAAGTAACCTAAATTATTGGTTACTTCAAATTGTTTTTAAAGATATATTCCACTTAAATTTTATTTTGACCTTTTGAATGTCTATAACTAGTCTTATCTTTTGTGAATGAATTGAACGAAGGAACCGGATATAATAAATCAGTTTGGGCAGATGGAATCGAATATAATAATTTCTGATTTGATTCGGTTCTGATTTTGATAATTAAATAAATCCGGTTCCAATCTCTAAACCGCAAATCATTTCCACCATTACCATTTGTAATTTATAATACATTTCCCACCAGATAATGGCATTGTTACAATATATCATAACATTAGTTTCACCTCCAGCTACACGGTCACAACACTCATCGTTCACCTTTGTAATAATCAGCTGTTAAAGTTCAGAATCTGAAAAATATCAAACAATGATTTATGTAGTGGATTCTAGATTAGTCTTTGAACATATTTTATAGTAGACTATATTTTAAGGTTTAAAATTATACGTTTATTCTATTAGATTTCTGAGATAATGCTAAAGGATTACCCTATCCGAAGACATGAAGAAATGGGGAAGACAGATTAAACTTATGAAACCATAATAGTATAAAACGCATATCTAAGAAAAAAGAAATGTTACATATGAGAATCTGTCTGTTATTAGATTGGGATTACTGATGCATTAAGGTTAGATTTAGAGAAGGCACCACGATTTATTTCTCTTACAAAGTTTCATTGTACAACACGACCCGTGTTTTCGATTAACAGTTGTATCCATCTTCAAACAAATTTTATTATGAAAATCTATTTGTCAACAATTAACAAC